AATGATGTTAAATTCCTCTAAAGTGTGCTGGTTTGTACACTTTGTACTGTATACACTAAAGTATCTGTAGCCCAAATCCTCCTCCATCTTGTCACGAACACTGAGTAAAACAACAGGGCTGGACCCTGTATTTACAGTGATGTCAGAGATCGTCATTGATGTTACACCTGGGGAAACCTTTAACAAGATGAAGGATACCTACCTGGAGGGTACCTGAGTCTCGAGACCACAGGTACGTCACCACCAAAGCAAGGGGTCCTAAGATAGCTTACTTGCCACTGTACCTATGTATACATCTTTATGTTTACATCAGTACAACAAATTCTTTGTCAACTTAACCACATATTAAAGTATATGTTCTCGCGCTGATATTTGCATAAATATCATAATTAATCCTACATATGTCTAGATTTATGATAAAAACAATCAGATAAAATATAAAAACCCGATCTTTTTTGTTAAATATTACTTAAACACATATCACTCACTATTCTTTAAAATGTCATTAAACTAACAATTCTTTTAAAAAACACCTGAATGCCTCCTAAAAGGCTGGTAACCTCTCCTGGTCATTAATATCAATGATGAAGAAACGACCACCTAGAGGTGTTTCTGCTTGCTGTGCACAATTTGAATTCCATCTCCTGTTATTCATTATAAATTTGTTAAAAGGTGATATAATTAGTGGTGATGTTTTGAAAAGAGAAAAGAATGTGTTTGCTGATTTTGACTGGAGGGGTTCATGCACTTACAAAATTCTTTAAATGTCAAACTTCAAATTCATACAAAAATACACTTTTCAGTAGTGTGAACACTAAATGTTACAAGTGGTACACATTTTAATCTAGAAACTCTCTGTGTATTATAGACTGTACACTTTAGTGCACCACAGGTAATGCGGTAGTATATTATAGACTGTACACTTTAGTGCACTTTAATGCAGTAGTGTATTGTACTACAGGGGTCGTATTCATGAAACCGTTTTCTTCCTGAAGCATGGTTTCTGTGCTCAAACCATGCAGCTTTCTTGTAACTCACTTAAAATAAAAAGTCAAACGTTAACATTGAAAACAGTATTCAGCTTTAAGTCTCTGAAATTCTTTCCCAACCATTGAGAGAAAAACATTTTTTTTTATTAATTTATAACTAAAACAATAAATTAGGTTTCACAGAGCACAAAAAACATGCTTATACGCATGAGAACGGTTTCATGAATATGGGCCCTGGACTTAGTGTAATGAATATGTGTATACACAAAATACTGATAGATGTCTGTGATAGACCTAGGGCAAGTTTACTTTCTGACCAACACTTCTACACAAGACACTGACCACAAGACACTCATAGCATCATGACTGACTTACTGACCAACAGGATACTGTGGTCAAGTTTAGATCACTAGTATCTACTTTTATCTCACACCCCAAGGATGGACTGACATTTTACATGGATATATTATACACACTTATGATACTTTCAATAAAGGTAGAATTTGTTTTAGAGTTACCTCCCTTCAACTACTTTATTTTGTTGATGGTAATAATTTTAACGCACATTTCTGGATCAGCCACTTTATGCCTTCCCAAACTTTCATTTTTTTTCAGTATTTATTCATTTTGCTTGGAACATATATATTATGTATCTCTTACTACTAAATCAAACGGTAGCAGGTACCCTTGCCTGACAAGCCACACATGATACTGAGGGACATGACCTGATACAGATCTTAGTCAAATCTCAGATACACAGATACTGGTGTGTTATACCCTATATTTCCTGGTCAGTGTCAGCTGTCTGACACCCAACCTATCACCTCGATCACACAGGGGCCAGGCTTAATCTCCTACATATACATTCAATATCATTAACGCAAATGTTTTAAAGACTGGTACTGTTACCCAAAATTTATTTCAGTAATCAGCAAAACATGATATATTCAATTTTAAAGTCATTTACATTGTAACTGCCATTGGTTTCATTATTCCATGGTCTGTAAAATCAGTAAGAGAATGACAGCCTTGCCTTCATACATTAATGAATTATTGGAGAAAACAAATAATAAGCTTGTGATCGATGATTATGACTACTATCCAATCTTGTTGAGTTTATTATCAAGTATATCGGTCAATTTAACTGCATAACACCATTTTCAGCGTACTAAACAATTAGGAATGTTGCCGAATCTGCTGATTTAATTGTTACCCTTAACTAATATTTGGTGGTACATGTATCAGTAATGTAAGCTATAGAAACCTTATATCTCTTTCTTAGTCAAAACAGCATGTAATGCATGTAAAAATCCCCAAACCAGTGTGGACTGATGCATTCTACCAACGGACCATTCCCAATGGTCAAGGGAAGACCTGTACACAACCTGGTAGAGAGAGGTGGAAACAGTGTGGACTGATACATTCTACCAACGGACCATTCCCAATGGTCAAGGGAAGACCTGTATACAACCTGGTAGAGAGAGGTGTAAACAGTGTGGATCGATACATGCTACCAACGGACCATTCCCAATGGTCAAGGGAAGACCTGTATACAATCTGGTAGAGAGGTGTAAACAGTGTGGACTGATACATTCTACCAACGGACCATTCCCACTGGTCAAGGGAAGACCTGTATACAAGCTGGTTGAGAGAGGTTTAAACAGTGTGGACTGATACATTCTACCAACGGACCATTCCCAATGGTCAAGGGAAGACCTGGATACAAGCTGGTAGAGAGAGGTGTAAACAGTGTGGACCGATACATGCTACCAACAGACCATTCCCAATGGTCAAGGGAAGACCTGTATATAACCTGGTAGAGAGAGGTGTAAACAGTGTGGACCGATACATTCTACCAACGGACCATTCCCAATTAATGGTCAAGGGAAGACCTGTATACAAGCTAGTAGAGCTAGGTGTAAACAAACAGCTGGCATGCTGGCCACCACTTAATGTGTTATTCTGTATATATATATCTATTATCATTTGTGTCTGGTTCAATCAAACAGATGTACAACAGACACAACACTGCCTGGCTACTGTCCAGCTCACTGACCACATACTGGAACGGTGATGGACATTGATAATGGACATAATCTCATCCTGAGGTAGGAAGTGCCCATCCCTGTAGACTGACCAGTAGACCAAAGGTTCCTATAACCCTGATATAATTGTAATGGGGAGACCGAGACAGTCCATCTGTCTTCTACAAGTCAATATCATTGGATATCAGACTCTAATCTGTATCTTCCCTAGTGAGTCAGTAATTTCAGGAACGAAACCTGTCAAACAATATTTTAGTGTAGTAAGCAGTTTGTCTAATATGTGTATTACCAGCTTCTGTATGAGTCAATGAAGAACACCAGTCTATCATATGATATACTTCCTAGTATGCTGGTGCCCATTTGTACTGAATGGTAGATTAGAACACTTAGAATAATACACTAAATACATAATAGTGACAGCTAGCTGCTAAAGTGGATTTGAGCTTCTGACCTTCAACTGTGCTATGCTGCCTGCACTCAGCCAGAAGCCAGAGTAAAATAAAAGAAATAAGGCATGTTTAAGCAAATTGTATTACTACAGGACCAAAGCCCTATTTAAGAGTCCAATCAGGTCTGCAGTACTAGTGCCTTGCACCAAAATACATTGCATTGTGAAACCTTAGCTAGTATTACCACATATATTACAGTAAAAAACTCCAAAAAAGTGTTGGGTGGTCGGGTTGGTCAGTGGAATTTAAATTCGCCTTTCACCAAGGCAGTTTGGGTTTGATTCCCTGATCAGACATGAAAAGGTGACATGTGTCCGACCGTGAGGTGGGTGTTCTCCAGGTACCGCGGTTTACTCCCACATTAAGACCCTCTTCACCCTACCCATTGGGCCAAAAAGAATGATTAATGTTAAGGATAAACTTGTTTCATAATTGTTGTAAATTGAATCAAGCTTACATTTCATTTGAAAAAAGTTGAATCATACTTGAGGAACATTTACCACAAAGGGTTTTACATGCACGGTAGAGCTACAATGCTGTAATGCATTAATGAGGGGGAACAGAGACTTACTCACTGCCTTTGATTATTAGGGCACAATCACATGTAACCAATTACCCAGGACTAAAGCCCCTGTGTCGAGGACACAGGCAATGAATGACTACAAAACATATGTGTATCAAACACCAATAACATACTGAGACACTAGTACATGTGACCTTCTATACATCTATACACAGACAATACACACCGTAAGAGATTCTGTCTTATCTATACTAACAATTAACCAAAGACAAAACAGACAAATGATTCTCCCCAATGTTTAAAACAATGTGTTTCTGATTGAATAAAGAATATATGTATTTATAGTAAGTTACATACAATGAATTAATTGGTTTGTACCTCAATTAGTCCGTAATGATGACGTGAATATGCTACTGCCAGAATTTCTTGTTTTAGTTTCTTTATATATTAATCATACACAAAGGAACAGGTTTCTGATAAACAATGCTATATTTAAAAGCCAATAACGATGACCTGTATGTACCGAACTAACAATTACTAGGAGTAAAAAGAAAGCTAGCTTTATTAAAGAGTAATAACCAACCACTGTAAGTATCTAATGATCGACCCTCTACAGTAAATATATATAGAAACACCATCTAATGGTCTCTTCACAACAGCACCAAGCTAATAACACATCTGGTGGGCTGTAATTCTTTATGAGTGTTTTGCCAGTTGCGGAACCATTATCTACCAGCACCTGTAACCATTAGTTAAGTGTTAGCCTTGTATTATATTTTCTAATGCTAATGTCATGTCTCACATCCCTAAACCTAAACGAAAGTGCTTCAATTTCGTCTCACATTCCCTAAATCTTATTGTAACACATCCTTAAGGCAAATCTTACATCCCTTAAATCAAATCTTACATCCCTTAAATCAAATCTCATTTCCCCCAAGTCTCATCTTGACTGTCGCTGAAATATACACTTAACTACCACTTCTTGACCTCTTACCTTTATTGACTCACTGCTGGAATGTACGCTGACATCACGTTGTATTCCACTGTCATTGCTGTTACTGGACGTCATTTCGCCCTGACCAAGGGCCGAGAATTTCTCCAGGTCTTGACCACCGGACCCTGATGGTTGGACCGATGATTTCAACCCGTCGGTATCACACACTGTACTAGTCGCACTGATCAGCGAAGCACTGTCTACGTTGGAACTTGTCAGCGACGAACAGGTCGAGATAGAATCTGTGTCTATTTTGTTTGGTGAATTATCCATAGTTAATTCAAAAGGACTCTCCTTAAGCGGAGAACTCGGAAGACTTAGATTTGAGTTTCTCCGTGAAATGGACATCAAAGGAGGCTTTGGACTGATAGGGCGTCTCGGATGATTCTCAATTCCTAACATAGATTTAATATTACCAGGGTCGTCTATCGTCCGTGATGATTGTAAAATGGGCCGACGAGTCGGAATACTATCACTAGTCCGTCTCACATTCATGTTGTTAGCACTATTGCCGGCATTCTGCACAAACAGATCAGCAGATGTATGTCTCCGACGGAATTTCAAACTTGAAAAGGGAGAATTAGGAGCAGATTCACTGACTGCATGAATATCAAGATCACCTTGAAAAGCAGCTATGGGAGGGGTGGGAGGTTCATCAGAGTTTGCCTTAGTTGGGCTTAAATCTCCCTTTTCCTTTTTACCGGTGAACAAACCTTTCAGAGACATTTTCTTCATAAAAGATTCCCTTGTAGATTGCTCACCTTTGAGATTCTTTTCATTAAAAGATTTCCGTTTGAATAAAAGCCTCTGTAAAAATCCGGGACTTTTAGGGCGGAGCTCCATACTGGTGACACTACCAGATCTACTGAGCCCCTGTCCATCCTCCTCCCCCCCTGTGCTGCTTGACCGGGACTTCATCTCTACAGCTCCTTTCTCTGTAGCTTCCTTGAAGCTTGAATTTCGCTTCAATTTACTTTTTCCGTCTATTTGATCCGACATTTCCCGGAAACTCTTACTTCGCCGAGCCCTTGCGTCTCGCAATGATTTCCTGATCTTCCTCATTGTGGAGTTTGGATCAGTATCTTGCATAGATGTCAGCTGATTTTCGTCCACAGAAAGTGGTCGAGGAATCCTACTGCCATTGTCGGGTTTATTCCGCTTTTGAACACCTTGTTGAGACACATTTGCACTTTCACCATCCTGATCACCGTCCTGATCATCGTCCTCAGTGTCAATCACAGTAACGTTTCCATCATTTCTGAGAAACACATCAGCATCATCGTTATTTACATCCTCAGAATCGTCATCATAATCGCCATCGTTATCATCACACAAGTGCGGATCGGAGTATGAAATGCGTTTGAGATGTTTCCTGTGCGGGTTATTGTTGACCCTGTTCTGCTGATCAGTTCTGTCATTCTGAACATCACACCCGACGTTAATGTCATTGTCATGTGATCCATTCAGGACAGGAATTTCCTCTGTCCCGTCATACCCTGTCTCAATAACAAAATGGCCATCCTTGTACACAATCCGAGATCCACCGTAGGACAGTGTCCCTGTGGGAAGACTTTGGCTGCGGTTGAAGGAGCGGGACGGTGCCGGACTCCTGTTGTTATGGTAGCGGTCAGCTGACGATGTAGATTTGTGACATGGTCGTCTTTCCTTTTTATTTTTGTTATTTTTCACATTTGCATTGTTGTCATCGCCCGTATTCTCTTCCAATTCCACGATCTCGGAAAGCAACTGAAACGACACAAGGATACCAATATATAGTCTAAAATCAAATTGGAATAAATAATATACAAAGGGCAGTTACCAATCCATGAGTGCAGTTGAATTCTATCACTGATAATCTCAATGACATTGATTGTCTTCCATATACAAAATATATGTTAATATTAATAGCATTTCTTAGTTCTTGTTACAGTTGAGTCATAATTCATCAAGTTAATCAATGTCTGAAAGGCTGCACCAATATCAATCCATGATAAAAATTCAGTGAAATCCAGTAAAATTTATGAAGAGTCAACAACTCCATACCATGTTTCCTCAAAATCATTCTGATCCATACTGACAATAGCCTATAGGGTTGAATCTAAATTCTCCTGTTTTCTACTGTACTGTTATATCACCGCGCGACAAAACACCAAATGTCGTTGGGTGAGGCTGTAAGTCAGCTACACTGATATCAGCTAACTGTCACAATTATCTCAATGCATATGTCAAAACTTTTAACACCAAACCTTTGTTTCAGCGAAATTTACAGTAAATATTCTTCAATTCGCAGGTTACAATATTACACTTTATTACAATCTGATGATTTCCACACCATCACCAGGACAATGGATAAACTTTGAAGAATAGAAATCTATGTCTCAAAATATAGACAGACCATTCACAAACACAAACACATGGACATTCGTGAAATTCTGATATTTGAAGCCCTCAAATATTGTGGACCATTACTACATATTAATGCAGTGAGCAAAACACTTGTATAATGGGCATGGTTTCTCATGCATGTGTCATTCCGCTTAGTGATGAATATACAGGTTTGGTATAGAAAGTGACACTTCCCAATGCACATTCTCATGTAATATGTAAATTAAACAAGTTTAACACAAATTGTACATTATAATTGATCTTCCTTCAATTTCTCTTTTTAAATCAATGAAAAAGCAGCATAATACATCAATATATTAGATGTAAAGCTTTATAATAATATGATTTGTAGAATGTCAGGATGTCTTCTTTTAACTTAATTGCAGTAAGTTTGATCTAGTACTTTAAAAACTCTACACATTGTCATCCAACCATGATTGTACAATTATTCCCAGGCAACATTAACTCTGCAATTTCACATTTAATATGTTATTTAATATACTCTTTACTTCACTTGTTACTTATTATTTCAAACATAAAAACTATCTTTATTTTGTAATTGTATTTCAACTCAGCAGCATTAATCCAATTTCCAGTTCACTTCTGACAAATTACATCAACACAATTACGATTTTTACTTTCCTAATTTTAGACTAATTTTGAGTCATCCATCTGCTCTTTTAAATTATCGCCCCATGTAATTGAAGAAATTTAGTTTTTTTATGCATATATACCATGTAATGAGGGTTTATAATAATATTAGAAAATGTAAAACAGCAATTCATTAATTCTTTACTGGGGGTGATATTAGCTGTAATGTAATTATCTTCTCATTCATCACTCAAGATCTACTAGAATTTGCAGTAAGATATTAAAAAGATATAATGTTTATTTGAAAGATGTAATTAGAAAATTTCCAACTACACTCCCNATAGACACATCAGAGCCTTGCTAATGTTTGAATACCAACATCAGGAATGGTTTTAATGTTTTCTGGGATAATTTGCAGTTTCCAGCAGAATTTTACACAGCTAATTTCCTCTTTGACTGTTTTAGCGGTGTGGGGTGGCTGGGCCTATAGACGGGGGTGTCAGTGAAAAGGTTTTTTCTCAAACTGTTTAAACTGTATATAAAAAATGAACACTTTCTTACATTTTTTTATACACTAATCTGGAAGCAATTATGTAACTGTGTAAAGAGATATTGCGTAAAACACATGCCAGGGTTTTTTTAAATAAAGGGTTCATTGAGAGGGGCCCCCAAAACTCATTTCCATATAAATCTTGAGTTACATTTATGGTTAAAAAGTGCATGAGAAATATTCGGAGATGTCACCCTATCAGGGTTCTGTATGCTCCAGTGCATGTCTGTCACCACTAGACACATTATCTCAATTCCACAGCAGGCAAATCATGTGTAAAAATGTACCAACCACAGCAGATTAGTCACATGTACATATGTACCCAATATTTCTGCCCAAGAGTATATAAACAATGGTTTAAGTTTCAAAATATCACTGCCAACAGGTCTGAGGAACTTGTTAAGCATCAACAAGAGTTAGAATATTATTATAATTCAATAATGATATAAAATATAATTGCATTTCTGCAAGCATAATCTTTCATACAATATTACCAACATCAAATATGTCCTTTAGGCCAATCAAAGTAACTTTTTCAGTTTTACATTCAGAAAACAAAAAACGTTTTTTTAATTTTCCAAACGTTTGTATCTTAATTGTGTCTATATACATAGGGAAACAAATCCTGATTTTATGGTATGTATAAAAGGGGGCATGGAATCTCTTGTGTTGACAGATAAATTGAGGATTGGTAGGGTAAACCTAAACAGACACATTTTTTATTTGGCCTTGTTATCTCCGTAAATCCCTTATCGATGTCCATTAACAATACTACACCAAAACCCCATAAGTCATTAATCTTGTCTCCATTAAGCCACTGTAAAGGATTATTAGGTGTCGACTAGATTAGGGCGTTAATACCCTAACAGGGGTGCCTGATCCCTATGATATGGAGGTCCACACACATAGGGTTTCTGGCTGAGGCCCCTGATAGATCTCTCACCAGCCCCTAACACAGCCCGTGACAGCCCCATTAATGACATAATGTTACGGATCCCATCACAGATTACACAACTTATGAGTTTTCTAAACAATGACTCCCGCCATGTCAGATCCTCTGAATCAATATGTCGCCCATTAATTCCGTAAGTGTGGTAGATTATTATCCACTACCATAAAACCAGCTTTGTGGCTAAGTACGCTTAATACACTGCTATCTGATTGTTGAGTTATTTATTGTTTTAATTCTAGCTCAATTCACCAATTTATGTTCGATTCAATCCTAACCCTCTTCTCTATCCGAGTTTTACAGCCACTTTGTACTAGGAAGAAATCATAAATCCCATCAGACTATTGTGTGTTTCATTATTCTCCGAGCTCTACATTACTGCTTTGTAACACTGTGTAATGATACCTTAAGTAACATGTCTAATAAATCTTCTGTTCAAGTTTATATCATATCAACGGACTGTCATATCCAGCAGGTCACATACACTTTAACTCCTACACTAGAAATGGGACAAATGCAGTATGGCTATTGAAATGATGCTCTGACAAAACAGGGGAAAGGTATTATCCTCACAGAAGTAGCAGATCTCGGCCTGGTCAGTTTTAAGCAACCTAATGTTGCTTAGATGATAGATTGTCATCCAGGGAGGTCGTAGGTTTCAATCTGAATCAAAGTCTGGCATGACATGTCTCAGTCTCCTTGTATGTAATGTACTTTTTTCACGGGTCTCCATGTAATTTTTTGATTCGTCCATATTCTGTCTTTGTTTCATTGATATGGTTTTGTTCAACCTTCAGTATTATTCTTGTCATTTACAGCATTTCTAAAAGCTAACCTCCAAGCTTTTCTGAACCATTAACTTCCAACCATTCCAGAGTCAAAATGCCAATACTTTGAGTTCAGCTCACAACTTTTCCAGAATCAAACTTCCAAACTTTCTAAACTTAAATCCAACTTTAGCAGTCAACCTTCCAAGGTTTCCAGAATTAAACTCACAGCGTTTCTGAAATCAGACTTTTCAATTTCAGACCTTCTCACAACACAATTTCCACAGTTTTTTTTATTACAATTTCGGTATGGATAGCAATTTAAGCGCCCAAACGAAACTTATGTATATTTTTTTCCCACTGAGTGTGGAGTGTCACATAAGTGAGTGAAAACAAACTCCCATTGACCTCTGTTGCCTTGTCGTTCTACTTATGACTAGAACAAGACCCCTTTCTACAAGTGTACCATTATCTACCAATGTTAATACACCATAATACTTTCTAATGTTTCAAAATTACCATAGTTCCTCTAACATATAGAATGTACACCATATCAATTATTTGTTACAATTACTATGTGAAATTGTGATGTACTGATCAGGTCTGTTCTGTCCTACCAGCCTACCCATGTATGTCCCGTCGGCATGTTGTTAAAGTGACATTTCTATATATATATTTTAAAATGTGTTGAAACGAATTTATTATCAAGTTTCCAGTCCTTACAGATAAATCTTGTTACAATTACTCTGAACACAATCCACGTGTTTGTATATATATAATTGATGGAAACAATAACTCCAGTGTAGATAGACTAAGGTCCCTTAAATGGATTACATCTTTTCTCTTTTTCCGCTTTCTTTTCCTTACTAGCCTTACCTCATTACAGGGTATCACTAGATCACTTAATGGCCTGAAATGACCTAGCTTATAACTGTGTTCATTGGCCACAATAAACAATAAACAAATATTGGCCGGAGGGATGTTATTGTATCCCAAACAGTAGATGGAGCACTATATACATACCAGGTAACAGCAAACACTCATTATTGCTTCGAAAGAAAATGTCTAGACTGATTCCAGATATCCCAGATGAAATTCTAAACTGTAAAATTATTTTGTAAACATTATTTACTGTCATCTGTGAGCATCATTTTATAGTAATATCTAACAGAAAGTAAACATTTTTAGCTTCATATAAAAGGTGATAATGTTCTCGTTGATTTCTCTTAAAACTCATTTGTTGATATTTTTATCCAAACCTATTATAACATAGGTTTTCCTGAATGAGTTACTGTGAAATCACTAATTCTGGTGGGGTTTTAATTTCTTGATTTTATTGGATATCTTCTTCCATGAATTCATAGGTTCACAAAATAATTACAAGTTTGACATAAACCAATTCACCGTATGAGTGGGTACTAGTAATCAACAAGTTCATGAGTTCAACAAGTTCGCGAAAATATCTGATATATCGGTAAGTCTTTATGTGACCAAGACAAATGAT